GTGTGTGTGTGTGTGTGTGTGTGTGCGTCTCTGTGTGCTTCTGTGTGTGTGCGTCTGTGTGTTCGCACTTTTCGTCACCCACTTTCAACTCGAGGACCAGAAAAGCCAGAAAGCCAAAATTTCGGGAATATATGCCCACCTTCTGTGATGGCCCTTTTGTTTTAATATCATCTGCGTGCGCCTGAGTTTCACTTATGGACGGCTCAAAAAAATAAGCACTTTTTTTGCGGGAAAGCAGTCTAGAGAATCGGACAAGATGGAAACTGTAATTTTAAAGGGATGTTCGCTGTCCATGTACAGCTTAAAAATTTTAGATTCAGCCCCAGATATTTGTGGCTCTTGTGTGTGGGCAAGTAAAAGTTTTGGAAGGAAAGCTCCTTATTGACCAACTAGATCATTTTCAAAAAAAGACCGCTAAAAGGAAAATTTTGATATTCTTTCACACAATATGTACAATGATCTACGCTAATAAGCACACGAGGTAAATATAAAGAAGCAATCATTCATACGGTTAACGACCTGACTGCTTCAAGTCTAGTGCAGAATGCATGATCGCACCGGCAAGCAGATTGCAGCATCCAGGTTGACCTTGGAATTGCGGATGGCGGAGGTGCGAAGAAATTCAGGAGGAAAGAAATAGTGTAGGAGAGAAGGCAAGAGTGAGATAAGACGTTTCGATCCATCAAGTCATATGCGTCTTAACTCAACACTGCGACTGGACCTTGTCAGCATGACAGCCGCAATGCTTAAAGAGAGGAAAGAAGGAAGAAAGGAAGAGGAAATGAAATCCAAGGAAAACCAAAAGCAAGGGGGAACAAAAGTTGTAATATTAAAAAGTGTGAAAGAGGTGAGAAGGGAGGGTAAGGACAGAAGAGAGAAGTCAAGTATAAACATTGTGATCAAAGCCTGGTACTTTCCAGCCTGGGTTGACTTTTAAGTCGCGCCAAAGTCTTCACGTCGCCATACGTGAGACCCCTACATACCTGGGAGGTGAATTTGAATTATTGAAGTCCCTGCGTAGGTAGAAAACATCCTCCTGAAATTTCAGCTTTGTAGCTCTTGTGGTTCCTGGGTTGAAAATGCAGGGCAAAACGCACCTGCATACACAAACGCACCTGAACACACAAACACACATGGAAAATGCTGGGTTTTGCTGGGGCCTGTGTCATTTTGGTGCGGGATATGACAATAGTTTGAAGTTCAGCATTTATGATTAATGATGTTTGCCTGCATTTCTAGCGTTTATGTTTTAGGAGAGTGGTGAAATGGAAGAGTACAGTAACTGGACTTCGTCTGGACGAAAGCGAAAAGTTGTAAGTTATTTAGGATTTATTGCCAACACTGTGACGAATTTCAGACAGCTGGTATCTGCTCATGATTCCTGTGTACCCTTCGACTCAATTATTTCGACAATGGTTTGGCAGTCTGGAAGGCGAAGGATTCCCAAAAACGTGAAATAAATAAATAATACTACTACGAGACAAATTGGACCTTGTATTGCACCTGAATCTACACCTAGGAGTTGAAGGAGGAAGGGTGCTATCGCGACCCTACCAGTTTAATATTTTAAACTTGTGGTATGCCCTATGTGTAAGTGTGGGTGTGGGTGTGTAAAACGCCTAGTCGTATATACATATAACTACACCGAATATTTTAAATGGAAATACAGAAAAAGATGGTGAGCTCCTGGGAAGTCGAAGCTCCCCAGAGCAGAAATAAAAGAAACTAATAGGTTAAGAAGTACTTCAGGAGTTGTGGCGATCCCGGCGATGGGGATGAGTGCTTTTATACCCAAGGAGTCAGAGACTACTAAGATAGCGAAAGTTTAAAAAGGGTAGGGTGTCCAAAGTTTAACCTACTTTTAACAAAAACCATCAGTCATTATTTGACCTGTTACATGGCAGTACCTATATGCCACTTTCTCCAGGAAACCAATAAAACATCATGCAGCTGTTACTAATTTTGGCGTCTTTTGAAGCATGATGAGTGTCCGAATACATCGTAGGGCGGATGAAAACGTTTTTGTGCGTTTTACGAGGATGGAGGTTGGTGACGAAGTCATGTTTATCATCAACAGAAAGAAGCACTTGCAAATCGCCTCTATCAATTTTAGTTGTGAATCGGTGTCTTAGAAATGAATTCAAACAAAATCATTCAAAGTCATTCAGATTTGTGTTCCTTTTATGATAGTGAGATTGAGGAGTTGTATGCTAATCTCGAATCCGTCAAGGGTACATGTGTAGTCGGTATGGGGATTTCAACGTAAAGCCTGGACCAGAAGAGAAGAACGGAAGAGATACAATGGTAACAGTAAATACGGCATTGCAGAGAAACGGCAGAAATGACGGAGACGAACAAATTGTTTTTTGGTGATGCCTGATTTCGAAAAGGTACAGGACGGAGCTTAGTGTGCTACTGTTAGTATACAGCAATCAATATCGACAGCGAGAAATTGTGGATGCTCCTATTTACGAACGACATAGTCGTCGCAGGAAGCCCTCATTCATTGCAGAATCTGCTAATTGAGCTCGTAGAGGATAGCGACAATTGGGCTCACAGTTAACATCAGTAAAAGCAAGTGGATGAAGAACGCCTACTGCCCTCGGTTCGACATGAAGCTGAATAAAGGCTCTATCGAACTTGTGCGCAACTATACCTCCTTGGGACAAGTAGTGCAGCTGAACAATGCAAAATATCCTAGGACAAGAAGATTACTTCATCTACAGAAGCAACAGTTTACAATTCTTCCGTCCTGCCAGCCATGTTATATGGGTGTAAAACGTGGAACACCACGCTTACTGAAGAATGGTAATTGGCTGTCTCTTAAAGAGCAGTGGAGCGGCGAATGGTTGGCGCTAGCAGGCTACAGCACGTTCCAAATGAAGTGCTACGAGCCACATCTGGCGTGAAAGATATTATTGAAGCAATGTATGCCAGAAAAAGGAGGTGGGCTGCTCATGTGGCACGGATGTCGGATAATAGATGGACGAAGCGGATAATAGAATGGTATCCGCGCATGGTAAGACGAACACTGGGGAGGCCACCAGTGAGGTGGAGAGGCTCCATGTACGCCTGTACGGTATCGCATAGACTCGCAAAGCGCAATAACGAATCGAATGGAGAAGTTGACAGTTGCATCGGTGGCGTGACAGCGGACGTCGCTGACATACAGCTGCTCAGGTGTTTAAGTGTACAGGACGGAAATGGACTTGGATTGCACTAAACGCAAATAAGAATGAAATTGACTATAGTTTGGTCGATGCTTGGCGCATTCTAAAGGACGTTTCCGTATTATTCTGCTTCAGTACAAGAAAGGGTCATCGCATGTTACGAGCTAGAACGTGTCAAACCCGGCTGATGAAAGAATGATACTGTGTGCGGCAAGTCAGCGTAGTAACCACAGAGAAATTGATGGTGAAGAAACGAAGCGACCAATTGAGAATATTGACTGGGCTGTAACGCCGAATACTGACGAGGGCTACAAATGCCTTGTCAATAAGCTTCTTGAATGCACGAAACGAGCCCAGTGAGCTCAGTCTCGGCGAAAAAATTTGAGGATCTTCACAGCTTTAAAAATACTGTTAGAGAAAAGAATAAACATGAAAATTTGTAAAACCCGAATCGTGAAGTGCTGCATTTTCTGCAAGCGCATTAGACGGAAGTTGAAGGAGGATTTCGAAAACTATGTCGACGGAGAGTAGCGAGGTTCAAAGAAAGCAGAGCTTGAAGAAATGACAGAAAAACTGTTGCCGGGGAGAACTGTTACCTTGAGGTACGAAAGTGATGCTGAATAACAAATCGAAGATATGGAGAATATCTGTAGAAAATTACAAACAAATCTTCACATAGTGATATTCCAGCATCCGTAATTCGCACCACCGAGCAGCAAATTCCTCCGGTGCTCATCAGCGAGGTGAGCCACGCAGTTCTCCAAATGAATTGTAGAAAGGCTCCCGGAAATATTAACATCTAAGGCCCGAAGAGCACAAAATTTGGAAAGCTCTCGTCATTCGCTTTAGAGAGTAATTAGCAGAAAAAAGAACACCTAACAGCTGGAAAGAGCTGCATGGATAAGGGAGATCTGAAGAACTGCTGCTGATCTGCCTACTAGGAACTGTTCAGGAGTTATCTTTGAATGAAAAGGCTTCTCATTGAGCAGCAGCTTTCGTTACTGAGGATAGACTTCACACGTCATTGAGTGTTATTCACAAAAAAGTCAGCTTCCACTTAAGCGGCCGTTGAAGAGGTGATTACGCATAGCTAGAGGTGGGCATTGTTTGGATGTGAGCAGCTTCAGATCAAAAAACCTTGTATAGTTGCTCCGGCGTAAGGGAACATGTCAGTAACATTTTTAACTGTTGATCTGCACACCAATTGGTGGTAATATTGGATGGTTTTGGGAATGGCGGTAATATTGCCGTCGTAGCATATGGTCATATTGCCGTCGTAGCAGGCACTTGATCTACAGTTATACGTTTTGTGCTGCAACAGTTGCACGAAACACGTATCGTCGAGGCCCTATTTGTGCGCGTGTGTTTGTGATCCAAATGCATTTTATTCGGAGGTTTCAATTCGGGAACCGGAGAAACTAGAAAGCTGAAATTTTATGAGGGATTTCCGCGTGTGATCTTGCAAGCTCAAATTCAGGATCCGTGCGCCTAGACGTCACGTATGGTCACTTGTAGATTTTCGCGCCTAAATTAACTCGGGAAGCACAGAAGTTAGGAAGCTGAAATTTTGGGACATGCTCCTTGCTCCCATATAAACTCCTAAAGTTAAATTCAGCTCCCACGTGCCCTAGAACTCGCGTGTGAACACGCGGAAACTTTGACATGGAATTAGCTCAAGAAGCACTGAATCAAGGGGCTGAAATTTTAGAAGAATGTCCTCTACTGGCGTATAATCTCTCAAACGCGAACTACACGTCCCCTTTCCCCTGCGTACCTAAGTTTCGCGTAGGGTCACGTAAAATTCTTGAGAACCATTACCCCTAAGGAACTGAAATTTCAGCTTCCTAGCTTTCGTCGCGTAAATTCAGCTCTCGCGCACACTTAAGCCTCAGATATATCAAAAAAACTCAGGAACTGCAAAAGCTAGGAGGCTGCAATTTTAGGAGGATGTTTCCCGCTGGTATATAAATTCATTCTTATACGCATCTAGACCGTATGTGCGGACTAATGGAATAGATAGAAGGGGATTGGAAGATCCGACTTTAATATTTTATGTAAAATAAGTTAATGCGGGGGAGGGGAGAGGAGGGAAAGTTGAAAGATTGTGTGTAGGAACATGTGTTATAAACAATGTGACATGTTGGTAGCACATGTGCTGGGAATATGTAGGGATATTTGTCATCCCCTAGCTGAAAACACAGACAACTAGAGGTGTGGTTGGGGGTGGGAATCATCAGTACAGCCCCATAACCACCATGTGAAGTAGGGAATGTGCTGTATGGAAAGAGAC